TTAATTTGAGGGTATTTACATCCAAATCAGGTGAACGGTGTAGGAATTACAACAGTTTGCGTATGTGCCTCCCACTTGTTAAGGGACCAAAAGTAATGGGACAGAATAATCATAAATCAATCATCTTGAAAGTTGACAGCAGCAGATTCCAAATGCAAATAGCACACTTGAAATGAACTCTGGACCTTTTATCTGCTCATTGTAATTGGGATAATGAGGGAATAACACACAGCTTGGCCATGGAAGAGCTGAGAAGCCAATTGTCCCATTACTTTTGGTCCCTTAACAAGTGGGAGGCACATATGCAAACTGTTGTAATTCCTACACCGTTCAGGCTAGGTAACAGCAGGCATCCTGTGCAGGGGCAGACTGACAACTCATGGGGCCCTCGGGCAATAGGGGATCATGGGGCTCATGTGTCCTTACCCACACTCAAACCACACCCAAAAAAGTCTATGAAAGGTACCAGGGGCATCTCATGGGGCCCCCTACTGACCCCGGGCAGTGCCCGAGTTCCCAAATGGTCAGTCCGCCCCTGATCCTGTGGTGTCTACTCTTAGGCAATGATTTTGTTTTAAAATATAAGTGGATATGCCTTTTAATAGAAGTGTCCAGTAGGGGCAACAGACTGTTACACATAGGTACACTCTGGACCTGTTAGTGTTTGTAAACAGGGAACATCTCCAGTCCCCCCTCCCCTTTGGTATATTACATACACCACCGAAAACATTTTGTAATTTGCAAGTAATGCATGGAAATATTAGAAATTCAGTGCATCCGGACGTTTCTGGGTACTCTGCGATGTTATCTTTAAAAAAAAAAAAAAAAAAAAAGCAAGGGTCCTTCCAACCCAACTTAATCTTATCTAAATGTTATGTTAACAAATTACATACACAGATTGGTTGATTTTTTTTTTTTTTTTTTTTCCTGTTTGCGTTGCAATATATTGTCAAAAGTGGAATAAAGCTGTCCTAAAATAGAATGCAAACCTTTACTTTTGACCTTTGCAATTCTATTATGTTAGGAAAAAAAAAAATCACAGAATTCAACATTTTGGGGGAAATATCTGGGCTGCACGAATTACAAAAAGAGTCCTGTTGGAAAACATTACAAAAAAGTAAATTTTTTTTTTTTTTTTTTTCCTTTTATTATTTTCTTTTTAATTAAAATATACACAAACCCAACATTTCATATTCCTGATATGTGCCTGCTGTACCATGTACTTGTATAAAAAATATCTTTTCTCTTTGTATTGTTTCCTTTGTGTGAAATCCCTGGTGTTCCTGCCAGTCCCTCTGCTTTCCTTTTAACCCCGGTTCACATCCGTGCGGGTGGTACCGCTGCGGATCCATGCGAAAATCCGTGCAGCCGCACCACCCGCACAGAGCATTGTGGACCCGCGGGCGGGTGCCATTAGTTCCAATGGCATGCCACCCGCACTGGGAACCGCAAACATACTGGGAACCGAGGTTCCTGTGCGGGCTGCATTAGTAGTGCAGGGACTTCTTTCCCTAGCGTGGCACGGGAGTCAATTTAAATGAATGGGCTCTTGTGCCCGAGCAAAATATGGCCCGCACGGCCGCATAGGTGTGAACCTAGGGTAACAAACTGACCACACTGAGCACAACGTGGTCTGTTCTCTAGCTGTGCTGAGAACTCAGCCTGCTCTCCTCCAATGATCAAACTTCTGCTGACATCCTTTCCCCCCCTCCCTCTCCACCCTGCACAGGCATTCACTGGAAAGTTTGCTGTGATGCTGTTTCTCCTCCCCAAGCTCTCCTGTGCAGAATTCCTTATGCAGCTGAGAACAGAATGTATGTGATCACTTTAAAAAAAAAAAAAAAAAAAAAAAAACGTTTTAATTTTTGTTTCTATATCTATACATAGTGTTTTGCTTTTCATTTCTATGAGAAGTACAGCGGCTAAATGGTTAGCACTTCCACCTGGCAGTACTAGGGTTGTTGGTTCAAAATCCCAACCATGGCACCACCTGCCTGGAGTTTGCATGTTCTCCCTGTGCCTGCGTGGGTTTCCTCCAGGTACTCCTGTTTCCTTCCACACTTCAAAGACATGCTAGTTGGTGAATTGGATCCTGTCTAAATTGTCCCTAGTATGTGTATGTATGAATGTGAGTTAGGGACCTTAGATTGTACACCCCTTGAGGGTTAGGGACTGACGTGAATGTACAATATATATGTAAAGCGCTGCGTAAATTGACGACGCTACAATAAGTACCTACCTATAATATTAAATATTTTATACTGAATAGGATGTTTTACAAGGTGAAGTTTTACATATACTTTAAAACCTGGTAAATAAAAAAAAAAAAAAAATTCTATGCATTCAAATCTATTCTATTAAAGCCCTAAGAAAAATGATGTATGCAGGGGCGGACTGACAACTCATGGGGCCCCCGGGCAATAGGGGATCATGGGGCCCCTGTGTCCTTGCCCATACTCAAAGCACACCCAAAAAAGCCTAAAAAAGGTACCAGGGGCATTTCATGGGGCCCCCTACTGAGCCTGGGCCCTCAGGCAGTGCCCGAGTGCTCGAATGGTCAGTCCGCCCCTGGATGTATGATATGTTGGGTTAGACCAGGGGTCTTCAAACTATGGCCCTCCAGCTGTTGAACTACAAGTCCCATCATGCCTCTGCCTCTGGGAGTCTTGCCTGTGGCTGTCAGAATTTTGCAAAGCCTCATGGGACTTGCAGTTCCTCCATACCTGGAGGGCCATAGTTTGGAGACCCCTGGGTTAGACTATAAAATATAAGCTGCAGAACGGAGACCTCGCCAGAAAAAAAAAAATGCTCTGAGGTTTGGTGTCATAGAGGGGAGTAAGGCTCGGGGATTCGTGGTAAATGTTCCGTCTCTCACGTAGACTGATTTTTCAAAGTGGCAGCATTTAGAAGTTTCCCACAGCTACCAATCAGATTAAACCTTTCTGTAAAATTTTTGGCTAAATAGTGATGGCCTTTAATTGACCTTGTTTCTTTGGGAGGTTTTGAGAGCGATCAGTTCTCGTATGTTCCTTGTAGAGTTTCTGTCTTCGGAGTTCATAGCAGGACAAACGAGTATTTTGGACGGGGATCAGTACATTTTCTGTTTTCTTTTTTCCCTAACAATCTCTTATCCTATGGTCACTTCTATGACCTTTTGTTCCATGGCCCTTTTATGAAGCTCTTATCCTTGTGTTTTTCAGCTGAGTCCAGAGAACGCTTACGAGGTGTTGTGTGTCGCTGACCTGTATCTACTTCCGGGACTGAAGCGATTGTGCGGGAAAGTGTTGGCGCAAATGCTGGACGAGGACAGCGTTATCGGAATTTGGAAGATTGCAAAACTCTTTCAGTTGACACGCCTGGAAGATCAGTGTACAGAGTACATGGCCCGAATTATAGAGAAGGTACGGAGCACAGACAGTGCGGGTTCGTTTCTTCAGAAAGCTTGCTAGTACAAAGGGTCTATCCACCTAAAACTAAGATTTCCGTTTTTGGTAGATTCTTCTAAAAAAGATTGGCTGTGTTGCTAGACTCCCATTCATGCACAGGACTTGTTGTAACATTTATTTTTCTTCCATTGAGGGACACAAATAGTCCTAAACCTTCAGGTTATACTGCAGCTTACAAGTGTGGTACAATTTAGTGTGGTCTCTGGACAAGCCAATCTGATGCCCAGGACCAGGCTGTCCCTGGCTTGGTGGCTCCAGGAATCCAGTGATGGAGCTAGAAGTCCACTTTTCCCATGTTCTAGCCTGTCCTACATGGAAGGGGATAGGGGGTGTCCTGGGCATTTTACCAGTACATATGACTTGGTCATCTGAGGAATATCATTCTGGTCAACTGTTTTGATCCTTGGCAATATGGATGTTCCTTCAGCATCGACCAACCTGTTGGAGGGCTGTCCAATTTGGATCCAGTTGGATGAATGCTATGGCAGTGGAGTACATGAATCATTAGGGAGTAAGAAGTATGTTTACTGTAGTAAAAGGTACTGTCCTGAGTTGAACATCTGTTTCAGCCTTGTGAGCCATTTACTTTCCCAGTAGACAATTGACAGGCAGATTTCCTCAGCCAGCAGTGTTGGGACCTAGGGGGGCTGGCAGAGGATGTGGACCTTCTGGCCTCCAGGTTCAACAACTGTTTTTTTTGGTCCAAGGATCCACTGGCAGAAGCAGTGGATGCTCTAGTGTAGCCTTTCTCAACTTTGTTACCCTAGCAGAACTTCTGAAATAATTTTCAGGTTTCGGGGAACCCTTACTAAATCCAATTCATTGGGGATCAGTGGGGCAAATGCCCCTTACATCGGTGGTTAGGAGGAAGAATGCAGCCCTTCCACTTTTGGTCAGATGGTTAAAAACATCATTGGTGTCCAGCTGCTGCCTCTGCTTAGTGTGTTGGCCCTGGAAATATACAGGCTTCTTCATTTAAGAGGTCAATCTTCTACAGTGCAAGGAACCCCTATCAGCCGTTGGAGGTACCCTAGGTTCCTCTCAACTCTGGTTGAGAATGAATTCTCTAGTGGCTCTGTGGGATCAGTACATCCTTCTCTATACCTTCCCTCCTGTGAAACTTCTTCCTTATCTGGGGAATTCAGGAGATCCTCATTGGTCTGGATTGGCCTGACCAGGCTAACCCTACAGTTTTTTTTTTTTTTTTTTTTTTTGTTTTCCACTGTCTAATCCTCCTGTAGGCGTCTGGCGAACTTGAAGGTTCAAGACGTCCTGTACCCTTCCATAGACACCAACAAAAGGATTTTCCCATTGAGTACAAAATTTCTATTTTCTTTCTTTTTGCAGTTGGTTGATTCAGAAGAGTTTGCAGCTACCGTGCGAGAAGATGCCGCTGCAGTCGAGGAACGGCAAGAGACTGACTCCATCCCTCTGATTGACGACATCCGCTTCCATATTACCAGCAATGTACAAACCTACAGCGCCATCGAAGAAGCTAACCAGCGATTAGAGGCTTTGGAGGATCTGCTGGGGAGTTTGGGACTGGAATGCTGAGCGAACAAAGAGCAAATGTTGTACAGTTACGGCGTTGTATGTGGTTGGAGCAGGTCTGATAAATAGATCGCTCCAGATGTAGTGGTATGCTGGGATTTGTAGTAGTACAAGCTATTCGAGGCTGGGCTGAATTATAACGAGGCCTGCTGTTACATTTCTGTTTTATAAATTTTTGTTTAAAGAGCAACTCCAGTCAATAGTTAATTACTCACAGCACACACCTATATAGGAATTGTAATATGCTAGAAGATCAGAAGATCTTGTACTATATAGTAGCTTGGCATAAGAAGAGTCCTATGCATCACAGGGTGCAGTTCTGCAGACTCTGTGCCTGCCTCCTACCTGTCCTTTTTTTTTTTTTTTTTTTGGCTAGAGACCTGCAATGTCTCTAATTGCATACTCTTGTGTGTTGCTTATTGGCGTTCCGGTCATATGCATTGTCTAAATCTTATACAGGCTCCGGGGTTGTGGTCCATTATGATCTGCAACCAAAAGATCTGTGGTATTTCAATAAGCATGCTGCAGAGCTGTAGTTTTGGCTACTCATCCCTACCCTACCATGAGTTTTCCGAGTGCATGTCTTAAGTGTCTTCCCATTCATCTGCTTCCATAGCAGGAACAATGGCTGCAGGCCAGATTTAGCTTTCAGCTGGTGGGTAGAAAAATAAAAAATTCAGGTGATTATAGTTGTGACATTTTAAGAGTTTCTCCACTTTTGTAAGGATGCAGTAGTGTGAAAAGGGTATCTTTTTACGTATTTTATTTTGGTATATTGCAAGTTGTTCTTTACTTATGCAAGCCATTTTTTTTTTGTTGCCTTGTGCTACAGAGCTGATTTTTAACAAAAAAAAAAAAAAAAGAAAAGGTGTCTGTTGCTAGAAATAGTCAATCAATTGCTTCTTTCAGCTTTCCTATATTCGCAGGGACAACGTTAAGGAAGCCACTCATGAGGGTACTTACCTTTTTAGTCTGTTCTTTTGTGTCTGATGCATTGCATATGCTAACCCAGTCTGATTCTGTCCTGCCTCCAACCTCTGCCTGTAGGAGGGGCTGAAGAGTCCAGATTGCCCTCTGCATGGGTCTGCGCATGCTACACAGGAGAGGCAAAGTCACTAGGAATGGAGCTCGGTGAATTCAGAGTCATAGCTCTGGAAACCAGTGTAAGGCTGGCCATTGACCGACTGAAATTAGGCCGGTTCAGCATTAACTTGCTGAATTTTTATCCATCTATCAATTGACTTCAGTACAACCAACCTATCAAGATTTTCCTCATGTGATCATTACTGGGAGCTATAGTTGTCAGCAGTGATCATTGTATTCTGAGGGCTTGGAAATCCCCCACTGATAGCATAGAGTAGCATCACGGGAGTAATTATCCCATCAACACTAGCTGTGTTGATGGGGGAATCAAGCTATTTTCTTTCCTGCAGCCTGTGGTTGCAGGAAAGAAATTTGTAAAAATTTGTGGCTTGCTTAACTCCTTGGCGCCAGTGCCTCCTGGCCGTTTTTAAGGTTTCAGAAGCCGGGAGGTGGGGGCGGGCGCCGTCACAGCAGTCACATGATCGGGAAAGGTCCCGATCGAAAGAGGAGATCGGGACCTTTCCGTGAGTACCAGACGTGTGCTGGGAGGGTGCAGGGTGCGCGCTCTCAGAACATATGTTTTCTTAATTGCACGCAAATGTGCGGCCGCTCGGCATCAAGGCCCAGACACCGCGAGGCCGCACATTTGCGTGCGGCCGGCGCCAAAGAGGTTAAAGTAGAACTTCACTCTCTCAATCAACATTGACTATTTTTGTTTATGCTGCTAGTATTCGTAAGTAGATGTGAAAGTATATCATTTGCCTGTTTTAAAGCTTTTTTTTGACATTTTTTCAGTTATTTCCTTCTTTCCAGGCCTAGGCAAATTTATGTCATACATCCCAGGAGTCTTCAGTAGGGGAGGAGGGGTTTTCTTAGCTTAGCACACCCTCCTGTTTGTATGCCAGAGCTAAGGGCAGATAGATTCCAGGAAGCTAATGCTACATGAATCCTCTGCCCTTACCCAAGATGGCCACAGCCAGAAATGCTAGGGGGGTGTATTTCAATGTGATTTCTCAACAAAATGAAGCATGGAGACATAGATGGATGGGGGAGTTTGCTTTGAATATTAAAAATTAATGAGTGTTTTTGGTGCTCAGATGCAGCGTAGTTCCGCTTTAGGACTTTATACTGGCAACATTGGCATTTCCAAGCATAGGACAGCAGGTGGTGGGATTGGACTGTTGCAGTACACAACCCATTTTGGCAATACACACTCTTGAGGTTTGTGCCCTCATGACTGGTCTTCTTTTAGTTTGGTTGCTACATTCCCACTAAAGCCTTGCATGTTCCTATTCACGTATTGTAGGTACTGATTATGTGAAGAGCAGTTGAAAAATTGGGTGTGATCTACTAAAAGAACATTGGCTCCTTCATGTAGAAATACCAATCTGACCCTCCAAATGATAGGAGTTACAGCCCTGTTCTGTCATAGTTTGAATTGTATCATAGCTCTGGTGTTGTGTATGATGGTCTCCTTCTTCTCAAACAGCTGAGCTGCAGCCTTCCCTCTGTGCAAACGTTTTTTTAAAGATAAAAATCTATCCTAAAATGAGACTTCAGTCCTGGAGGAGTTCAGTCCTGGTACATAAAATCTTCCCTGTGCTTCTAATCTCTTTTGGACTCTAGAATATCCCACAGCACTACTGTTCAGGGACACCATGAAGTCTCATTCCACTTGCCGGGTTTTCTTTCATTCTTGTATAATAAGTTTAATGTTCCCATAGTAGCAGCCACAGTTGGTAGGCAAAACAGGAAAAAATCAAGTCAAGAGGACTTGTCACCGGAGTCTTGGAGAGATAGAAGAGGTAGACCTGTGATTCCTCTTGTTGACATCACATCCATTAAATCATCACTATCTAAGGCCTGCTTCATAGGGGCTTCAGCTTCTATAAGAGCAGTGTGAACAGTAAGCTGTGAAAAAAAGCATTTGCAGAGCTTTCGGCAAGCTTGGTTGTAGCTTTTAAAGTAACATTCAGCTCCAGTTTGTAAATGTTGAAAACAGATGGGAGTGCTTATTGCCACTATTCTGTTTCAATATTTTTATTAGGAAAGTTTTGTTTTTAAGAATAGAACAAGCTCAAGATACGCCCTCGCATGGGCAGAGCAGAACAATAACATATAAACAGAGACATCCTGCTGACTTGTATTAGTCAAGTAACGAAATGTCCAATGACATCAAGAAGGGACGACAAAAAGCTGAGCCAAATAGCAGCAGTTAAATACATAATATCAGAAAAAAAGAGAAAAGAAAAAAGGTTAGAAGAAAAGAAAATAAAACAAAAGGGAATCAGAATGAAAACATGAAAGAAGGGAAACTAGAGGGATCACGGATCCGGGGCTAGCACCGGCACCGACTATAGGAGGCCATAACTAGTAGGAGGCAGGGATGGTAAGGAATAACGTATCCATGGTTCCCAAACCTTAAGGAATCTCAGATGAGAATCATGAAGAATGCTAGACATCTGTTCATTGAACAACATAGCATTCATCCGGGTCTTCACCCCCTGGAGGACTACCGAAGGGGTTCTCCAAGCTTGACTGATAGCCACTTTTAAACACGCTGCTAGCAAGCTTCAGCACTTCTTAAAGCTTGTTGAAAGCCTGCTAGCAACACTTTTAAAGTGGCAATCAGCACTCCCATTAGGATCTGTGTTCAGCATTTACAAACTGTGGAGCTGAATGGTATTTTAAATGCTTCAGCAAAGCTTTCTGAAAGCTCTGCAAATGCTTTGTCAAAGCTTGGTATTCACACTGCTCTTATACAAGATGTAGCCCCTGTGAAACAAGCCTAAAAGTTGACTATAGGCAAAATAACTGCGTACCATTATCTATTCTTTATGCACTGGTTAGCAGAAAAGCTGTCCTTTTTTTTTTTTTTTTGTCCATGTTTCAGCTTCCTTTGAATGTATGTATTTATTCTGGACTGAGCTAGCTCTTGCAGGCTGTGTGATCTGAGCCAAAACTCAACCCACCCAAATTTTACAGTTGATCAATACAGCGGTTGGGAAGCGGAGATGCTATGTGCTCATCCAGTGGCTGTAAAAATGCATCCATCACTACCTCCAACTATGGAGTAACTCTGGCCTCCTTGCTCACTGGTTTGGTGTGTCAATGGCTCTCCTGTTCTGCAAACATTTGTCAATCATTATAGCTTGACATTCTATTTTCTGGCTTTATAAATAGATATCCACTTCCTTCGTCTAACCACTTCCTAACAGGCTATGCTGGCTAGAGACACCAGATATTTGGACATGTATCGTGACGTAACCTGTGGTTTGGTTATCCCAATAGGAGGCACATCACATAGTACATACAGAACATATGTAAATGTTATATATACCATGTCTGCTTTGAATACCTTTTTGTTTACAGCTGACCTTTAATATTTTCACGCCACTAAAATTACCTGCAATTAATCCCTGAGTATTACTTGATCACTAATGGAACATATGGTCTAGGGATGGTGTAGGCTACACAACAACACTGAGCATTAGGGCACAGTACTGTAAAATTGTGCAATTGATAACAGCTATGTGCTTGAGCCTATATTATCATGAATAATTTACTCCATCTGCTGCAATTGATTTCAGGTGATTTTAGTAGTGTAACTAATAAGAGTTTCCCAAGTTACTAACGTGCATGACCGCAACCAGGGAGATTCCAAATGCCATTTTTTTACATAGGAAAGTGTACAGATCAGACCTCCTGGCCATTAGGAAGAAAAGGAAAATGTGAGTTGGGGCAGAAGCAAAGTAAAAAATTGTAAAGGGAGAAAAACAGGTTTATAAATTGTATCCGAAAACTTGAGGTGATTGTAGCCGTATTAGTGCATTTGCGACAGGAAAGATTGAGTACTGTCCGTGATACTTTTTTTTTTATTTGCACTAACATACAATTTTGAGGACAAGCTTTTGGGGAGT